CTGAATCCAACCAATATATTAGTTTCAGTTAGATGTTTAGGTAGTCAGTATGAAAGAATTCGCAATAGTGAAAACTTACAATTTCTCTTGTGTTTTTTTATACGTTGACGTGACGTTGCTATTTTCGTTGCTCTTCCTAAAACATTCTCTTCAATACATTTTTTTAAATAAACATTGATTGTAAATATATAAATCCATAAATAGCTAGTTTTCTCGCCAATTAGAAAAAATCAATCTGTTTTTAATTTTAATCAAAGTTACTGAAACTAACTTATTAAAACAAGTGGAAAATAACCGCACGTGATGGCTTTCATGAAAAAAATGTTTTTGCCAGTCACGATATGGTATATGATGACAATATACTGTAATTGTGATATGTCGTCAGACTTAGAAAAATCATTTATAGAGAATGAAATTATACCTGATACACTGAAGACCGCACCAAAAAAGATACTAAGCGTGAGTATCTAAAATTTGGATAAAAAATCATAAAATTCCTAAATGTACATTAACCAGGTATCATATGGAAGTGACGCCATCGTTAATTTGGGCAACGAACTTAAACCAACACAAACAAAGGAACGACCAACTGTGACATGGGAAGTTGAAAAGGGGGCTTTTTATACTCTAATTAAAGGTTGCATGTTTTACTCTATTTTTTATTGAAATCTTTCATATTTGTTTATTTTGTTTAATCATGATTTAGTCGACCCTGATGCGCCATCTCGAGTCAACCCTGCTTACAGAGACATTCGACATTGGCTCATTATGAATATTCCAGAATCAGATGTTGCAAACGGAGACGAAATTATCGAGTATATAGGGGCTGGTCCGCCAAAAGATACCGGCTTACATCGTTATATATTCCTGGTTTTCAAACAACCAAATGGAAAAATCGAACATAATGAACTACGTGCAACAAAACGGTAATGAATATTGCTTTCCTTGAAGCTATTTCGAGCAATATGGTAATACATTTGCTTTCTTCTAAAACCATTTTCAGACAAATGAATAATAGACCAAAGACATCTGTAACTGAATTTATGAAAAAGTATAATTTAAATGAACCAAATTTTGGAAACTTTTATCAAGCCCAATACGACGAATATTCGGATGTTCTTCATGCACAATTAATGGGTTAAAATTTATAAATAATCGACATAAAATTGGTGGATGCAAATCGTTCTCAATATTTTTCTTCGCACAATGAGTTTTCCGGAATTTTTGGGGGTGGATTTTTTTAATTGTATTCTCATCATTTGCTATTTATGAGCCAAACTTTGAAAAATTTATTCTGCTTACAAAATGAATTAAAAACCGTTGTTGTTTTCATTCAGAAAGTGTGTTTTTTATTTTATTTAAAGCAATCAATCAATATTTAAAACATTGGTAGTACAGCTTCCGGTCGAAAACTTCCTCATTTTTCATGGCACAAAACAGCATAGAATATCTGAAAAATATAGAACAACATTCATTTCATGTTCTAAACAATTTTCTTAATAAAACAAAACAAATTTATGTGGATATTTCAGAAGTGTTGAAAGATATAATCAAGTATGTGTCATACTCTTCCTATCAAAAATGGATATCATCATGAAGTTGAAAACCATAAAAATATATATTTATTCAAAAATTTCTTAAAAATGCGACTTACCATTGTCAAACTTTACACCGTAAACCCGATTCATAAAAGTTCAATTAAAATCCGAGCAAACCTGCAATGTAAATAAAGAAAAATATACTTAATAATATGTTGATAAAAAAAATCAAGAAAAATCCATGAATACGAAAATAAAAGGGGAAATATCAGCAATTTTATGAGCAAAATCATTTATGTTTCATACTCTTCCTATCAAAATTAATATCATCATGTAAATCTTATTGAATTTAGTTTTAGTTGTAATTTATAATAATACAGCAACTGGACTCACCATTCTTATGCTCAAACTTCGTCTGTTCGATGCTGACCAAATAATTTGCCCAAAGTCCATCTTTACATTGAACTGAAAAATTACAAAAACATATTATAAAACATTTGTTCAATTGTAATGAAAACCGAGTTGAAAATTTGAAATATTTCAAAAATGTTGAAAGATATAATCAGGTATGTATCATACTCTTCCTATCAAAAATGGATATCATCATAAATGTATGACAAATTAAAATAATCAATGTTTCTTACCATTGTCACATCATCGTGCACCCAGCTCACATCTCTCAGCCAACGCTCATTCCACGAAATTCCAAGCATCTGCAAATAAATCGAAAGCAAATACATTTAATGCTGGGTCGATAAAAAGTGTGACAAATACGAAATGAATTCGAATAATCAGCAATTTTATGAGCAAAATCATTCATGTTTCATACTCTTCCTATCAAAATTAATATCATCATAGGTAATCTATTCTATTTGTATAAATAAACAGTATTCAAATTACCTGCAGAATGGGATGAAATAGTCGTTGTTGCCGCCGATAAATTCCTAAACTTAATAAATCTTTAAATATTTTTCAATTGACTGAATCAGAAGATGATTTTCGATTTTGGTTATTATGTTAAAAAAATGTGTATTTTTAGTTCAAATTGCAATGTAGTATCATAATCAATCTTATCAATGCGATGTGCTTTGCAATATTTTATATTTTACTTTTTTTATATTGCAAACATATTAAATACTAGAGAACTACAAATTACTTGTTCATTTTGTTTTTTTAAATGGAAAATCTAAAAATCTATTGTAAATGCTTGCTTTTAATTCTATGAGAGCACTGAGTTTATGCATAAGAAAAATCACAAGTTAAAGTATTTCAACAGTCAGTTTTGAATCACGATCGCATTTGCATCTTTTTTTTTTCTTTCAATTTGTGCATTCAAACAAATGCCGTTGTGATTTCAACGCTGAGATTATTTCGGAGAGAAAAATTAATTGATTTAAAAAATACTTTGTATTTACAAACAAACATTTTTCTAATAAATTGAACTTACAAAATCTATACGTTTTTGTGCTTTATGTTCATTTGTTCTGTCCAACATTTTGTTCATATTCAATTCTCAATCAGTGTTGATGCATTGATTGTGAGAATTTTTCGATCTTGAGACTCATATTGTTTAAGACTGGACATGCTTTAAATATTTCTTATTAGAAAATTAGACGAAATTAAATTATACGCCACGGTTTCTCAAGTCTTTTACTTTATAAATTCGAACGAGCCAATGTTCGGTTGTGTATGCTTCTTCAAGAACATCCAGTTCAAAGTCTTTGTTTCCAATTTCAGCGGCCCGTACACGATCATAGCCTGGTGGTTTGCCACCTTCCGTATAAACCTTTGACGATAAGGGAAAACACTTTAAAATCAGCAATCCCTTCAAATCGTAGATCAAAAA